AAATAAATGTTTTACAGTATTTAACTGGTCTCACCTTTGGGTCAATTTGGATTTACAGAAAACAATATACGTTATGCTGACTTAACACATTCTGTTTTCATATAAACAGTTGTAACTATAGCAAAATCAAATCCACACTTCAACAGATGCATGTAGCTGTACAAAAACCTCTTACTTTGATGGAAGCTTTATTCAGCTGCCATTGGCTTCTGCTGAAGAGGAGGAACATTTTCTCTCATAAACCAGATCATCCCTCCACCTAATCCTGCAACAAAGTTGTAATTTGCAATTGCAGCAAAGGCATTATATATAGCCAGCTGTCATGGAAAAGACTACTCAACACATGAATTAAGTAGAAAAATCAGAATTAGTATTTGCTGAAGGGACAAATATTTGCTCAATTTTCAAATATATAAAAACAAAAACGGAATTGATTTCTGACTAAAAGTAAAAAGGGAAAACGTGGAATTTACAAACTGTGCCTTATCACTATAACTCAATTGTGAATATTCAGACTTCTGGTGTAATTTCTTCTAAATGTTGTTTGCAGTACAAACCAATACAATATTAACTCAAAAAGTGAGACCTATGGTGAGGATATGGTAGTGTAAATTTATTTATTTATTTATTTATTTGATTTATACCCAGCAAAACTGTAAATGGGTTCCTCTCTAGACACTCTCATCAGACTTTTTCCTCCCACATGAGTAGGAACTCTGCTTTGAGAAGCTTCCCAACAATCCAGAACAAATGTATTGTGAGTATCCAAGGGCTTAATATTTGAGGTATAAAAAGCAATGCGCTATTGATGACTCAAAATTCTGTACCCATTTTAAAATTCTAGAACAGATTTTCCTTATTCTTTCTGATCACTAGAGAGAATTCTTAAAGAAATGACTTTCTTCGCATATTCTTTGTACAGTGTATTAATTGTGGGATGAAATGCCAGCTGAATAGGAATAAAATCTCCAATGACTTCTACTCTTTATCTAGCTCAGGTAAAGTGACAGAAATCCAAAACATATGCTGAAAGCCAGCAACATGTTCGTTGGGAGCCACTTGATCTACTAGCACTGTGGGTAAATGAATCACCAGATCACAATGGAGGTATTTTAACTGTTCATAATAGGGCTTAATTGCACCTAAAATATCAGTTGTTGGAAGAACAAATGCCGATCTCCTTTGGATTGTTTGCAAGCTGTGTCCTCAATTGGAAGAGTGTGTTGTCAGTTATTCATACTCATATAGAAACTTTACCAGAACAATGAAATATGTTGTACTTGGGAGCTGCCTTTGGAGAGTGTTCAGAAACTTGAAATTTGAAATGGTGGCTAAACTGCTGAAGGGACTTGGCAACTTCTTGTGCTTTGCCACTAATTAAAAGCCAATGTTACTTGAAAATATGTTTTCAAGCATATTTCAAATAGCAAAGTATTAAATGCTAAACTGGGACAAGCAACTGTGACCTTTGAGGTGTTGTTGGGCCACCCCCATGATATCTCATAATTGGCTCCACTGTTAAGGATTCATGGGACTTGTAGTCCAACAAAAACTGGAGGGCCACACTTGTTCATGTCTGTCCTAAACCAAGAATGAGGAACACATGGCCCTACAGACCACCTCAGACTGCTGTTACCATCAGCCCTACTGAGTGCAATCATTGGTAAGTGATAACAGCAGTTGGAGTCCAGTGTCTAAAGGACTACACATTCTCCACCTCTGCCCTAAAGTAGTTTGGAGTTCAACTACCTGATAAAGTGATTTCTCCCATATATCCATGCCCATCTATTAAATCTAGAAATCAAACTCCTTTAAGCCCCACCTTTAAAGGACAATTATTCTGGCTATTACAGTGAGGGTCTTTTTCATGATAACTCTATAATTGTGGAACTCTTTCCCTAGGTGAGAGGATGTGGTGGCGCTGCAAGGTCAGAAAACAAGCAGTCGTAAGATCGAATCCACGCAACAGAGTGAGCTCCCGTCGCTTGTCCCAGCTCCTGCCAACCTACCAGTTTGAAAGCATGTAAATGCGAGTGGATAGGTACCGCCACAGTGGGAAGGTAACAATGTTCCGTGTCTAGTCGCGCTGGCCACGTGACCACAGAAACTGTCTACGGACAAACACTGGCTCTACGGCTTGGAGATGGGGATGAGCACCGCCCCCTAGAGTTGGACACAACTAGACTAAATGTCAGGAACCTTTAGCTTTACCTTTTACCTTCCCTAGGTAAATTACATTATACCTGCCCTGTCCATATGGACTTTTAATATTATGTGAGCATACTCCCACTGTAACTGTTACATTGGGGAGGTTTTTTGGGGGCTTGTTGTTCCTAAGATGACTTGTTTACTGTATCTATCTTATTTTCATTTCACCAAGCTCCCACCTCTGTTCAGGAGATAAGGCAGGATTTAAATAAGAGCTGTACCACTTGACATATTTAAAGGAGGAGTACAGCTTCCATGTTCCTTAGTTATGAGTGATGTTCAGTCCTTGAACCAATGTAAACACCCATTCATTAAATACAATGCTAAATATGACATATGGCCCACAACCTGGAAAGGGATCATAGTGTGGCCGTGGTCCTATTACTCCATTCAAGTCCCAGTTGGGACTGGTTCTCCCTGTACCTGTTATTCAGTCAAGCAAAAACAAGCACCCAATGATGATCAAGGAGAGCCAACACAGTGTAAGAGTTTGAGTTCTGCACTTAGGGTTTAAACTACCTATGAGCCATGAAGCTCGTGTGAACTTTAGCTGGTCACTATCTCTCCCCCTCTATCACTAATGAATCTCATGGGTGTTCGGATAACATTGGGAAAAAGGGACCTATGAGTTCTTTGGAGGACAGCCAGGATTAAGTGTAATCTGCACAGGAAGTTGAAATTGAGAATCAACATTAAACCACACTCTCCTGGCAAAAATCAGCACAAGGTATTTATCTGAAAGGCAGGAGAATATTAATAGAGCAATGGGTTGAAGTAAAACTATTTTTCTGCAGTCCCTTTCTCTGTACAACTCTGAAGACCAAGCCACCAAAGCTGGAAGTTGGGAGTAGAACACAGCACAGTTCTTCGCTACAAACTCGGGATAGAAAAAAAAAATCTGCCCTAGCAATCCTAAATCAATGCAGAATGGTTCTACTTCATAAAAGAAAAGAAAAAAACCACCAGTTTGTTTCTGTGCTCTACTTAAGAAGCTCCTTTTTTAACCAAAGTTTTTATAGGGATTACATGGATGTCTGTTCCTGTGCATGACAAGAAGGATCTGTGTGGCTCCAGTTCCATCCAGAGGGCTAGGATACTTCTCCAGCCTGAAGCATCAGACTGTTATTTGCATCTAGCTGAAATAAAGTCAAGCATTTCAGTGCAAAATGAGTCCAATATAACAATTATACTGAAGCAAAGTGGCAACAGACATATGAGCTTAACCTGCTAATAGCACTGATTTCAGTGCACGAACTGTGAACCCTGTTGTGAACACCTTCAACATATACTATTTTAAAATGCATTATAAAAATATTGAAATAGGACTTGGAGGTCCCTGGATATCAAAAATAATATTTTTGATTACTGGATGGACAGCTTCTAACACTGATTTTATGATGTAGTATTTAAGCTGTTTTTATTTTACTTACATAAGTTTGCAAGATTCTGAAATTTAGGCCACTGAATTTAGTTCAAAGCTCCTTTTCCTTATGGAATGACATACTCTGGCATTAAGCTGACTTCATTTTCTAATGATGTGCTTGTTTGACCACTCTTGGAATTGCAACAGAGAGCTTTTATGTTAATAAATTTAAAACGCTGACATGCAGATTGTGAAGCAGGGCCTGACGGCAACGAAGAGCCCTCTTTCTTTTGAAAAGAAACAGAAGTTGTACACTCTTCTTCGGGTTAACCACAACCTCCATGAGCAAGTATAGAAACACAGTATTATTCTGGCGGGCAAAAGGCAGCAGATTTATTCACAATGACGATGGAAAATAATTAGAATAGGGCCACATGACTTATACAATGAAGTTGTAGACCTGGCTAAATTGATTTTGGTCACTGCTGCTTCTCAGAACAGTCAGCTGTAATTTCTCGTGTGAATGAATTACTACTCCTAGCCTCTGAGGGTTAGCCACTCACGAGGATCCTTCTGCACCCTCCTAAGTCTTAAAAAGAAGATACCTCACGTATACCTAAGTTGTTAAGTTTATTCTTCACGAAAGAAAATGGGGTCACTCGGTCAAAATCACCCCCCCCGTCTTTACACACACACACAGACAAAGTAACCGCCGTTTTAACAGTCATCGCCCGTCACCGCGGCAAGCTTTGGAACAGGCCCGCAGCAACGTGAGCGAGGCCAAGCGGCAGTTTCATTTTAACTTTTCGGCTACAATGAACACTTTGCAGGTCTGGGAGGGCAATATCTTTTCAAAAGATGCGGCTCCCGAACCGGCCAAACGACTGCGAGAGCAGATCCCTTCGCAAAAGGGGGGAAAGAGGCGGGGAAAAGAAGCTGAGACCCCACAACACACAAGAGAGACCAGCGCACATACACACACACACACACACACATAAGCTGAGACTCACAACACACAAGAGAGACCAGCGCGCATACACACACACACGCACTCGAAACCTTATGAGCCTTGTGATGATGATTAAGCTTGCGATTGTAGGACACACACACACACATACGTACATCCTTAGGAGTCAAGCCCTCCCTCCAGGGAAACGGGGCTTCACTTCCAAGGGGAGCAAGCGCAGAGAACAGCCCTGCATCCCCTTCCAAAGCAGGTCACACGAGTGTCCCTCACCGGCTTCTTTCGACATCTTGGTCCCTCCTCCCCCCATCATCCCCCCCATTTAGCCGCATCCGAAATCATCTCCCCCCCCCCCACACACACACACATCCCTGATCTCTCGCCCGGCAACCGGCGAGGGAGGCTTGGCACTTTGGAGGTAGTTTCCTCGCCTCCTCTCCCGCCGCCCCCGTCCTCCCTTTTTACCTTGCCATCCTCGTGGCCGAGGTTTTGGAGCCGCTCTTTGCCCGAAGGGGCCCGGATTTCGACGACGCCCAGTGGGGCTTCCTCCGGAGGAGGAGCGGCCGCGGGCGGTTGCAGAGGCTCCTGCTGCCGGGACGGGGCGCGGCGAGCTCCGCGCTGCCCCACGCTGAGCGCCCCGAAGTCCAGCGTCTTGCTCTCGAAGGCGCCCTCGACGCTGCAGAACATCCCGCCATACTTCTGGCGGGGCACTTGGTCGGCGGTGCCCGGGCGGGCCAGGTAGACGGGGAGCTCTTCGTCCGCCGGCTCCCCCCGCTCCCGGCCTCGCCGCCCGCTGCCTGAGGCCATGGCTGCTGCTCCGGCTGCTGCTCCGGCTCCTCCTCCTCTTGTTGCTGCCCTGCCGCCGCCGCCGCCGCCGCCGTCGGTAGGCAGGCAAGGCACCGCTGAGCCACTCTCGGGAGCCGGCGGGGGCAAGTCCCGCCCTTCCGTCTGTCTGCGATGGAGGCGATGAGGGGGAGGCTCCCAGAGCGCTGTAACCGGCTCCTCTGCCGCCGCCGCCGCCGCCCCTCAGGTCAGGCGCGGAGTGACTGACTAGCTAGGCGAGAGAGAGAGAGAGAAAGA